CCGTAGACAGGAAGGTGAGGAGGAGGTGGGGGAGACACCGGCGAGCGGTCAGAGGAGGGAAGGCCGAGCAAGCGAAGAGCGGAGACCGGCGACGACGACTGCAGCGGCTGCTGCGGCGGCTGGTGCTCGAACCTCGAACCGGCAGGGGCACGACGACCTCCGGGAGAACACTCAACAGCAGCACCCCCAGAACCAACACCCCCAGAGCGAGAACCCTCTCTAGCCCTAGCGGCACCCCCTGGCCCGCCGGGACAGACCACACCAGGAGCTGCAGGACGAAAACACTCCTCAGCGCTAGCATCCCCAGAGGCCAAGAGCGGCAGCGGCGGCAGCGGCGGCGGCGGCGGCGGCGGCGACGGCAGCTGCGACGGCAGCTGCGACGGCGGCAGCGGCGGTGGCGGCGGCGACGACAGCGACGACTGCGACAGCGGGGGCGGAGACACCAGGGAAGGGGGACACGGCAAAGGCGGGGCGGGGGGAACACCAGAGTCAGCAGACTCCTCAACAGGGACAACTGACGGGAGGGGAGTGACATGGGAGACACCAGACGGGACAGGACGCGGCGGGAGGGGAGGAGGGGCTACCGAGGGAGAGGGGGCAAGGAACAGGGGGGGGGAAACCGGGAGACCTCGGTGAGGGAAGCGACGGTAGAAGGAGACGGACTCGTCAAAGGTGACGTCACGAGAGTGGAGGAAGCGGTGAGACTGCGGGTGGTAGAAGAGCCAGTCAGACGAGTCCAGGGGGAAACCAAGGAAGACACAGGGGACAGTGCGGGCAGTGAGCTTGTCCGTGCCAGAGGCACGAACGTGAGCAAGGCAGCCCCAGACGTGGAACGCAGACGCGTCACCGGGGGACCCGGTCCAAAGGAGGGTCGGCGAAACCTGCGGTTGCTGGGAGCGTGGCCACAGGTTAAGCTGGTGAGCGGCGTAGCGAACGGCGAACGGCCACAAAAAAATGGGGTGCACTAGCATGGATCATGGAGGTACGAGCCACCTCCATGACCAAGCCAATGCGGCGCTCAGCAACCCCATTCTACTGTAGCGAGTCCGGCAAGGTGTACGACTGGGTGATGCCCTCCGCACGACAGAACTGTCCAAGCCGACCAGAAGCGAACTCTCTGCCACGGTCAGAGTGGAGACACAACACGGGGAGACAGCGGGGAAGACGCGCAGCCACAACCCACGGGAGAAGAACGTCGGGCACATCGGCCTTCCGCTCCAAGGGAAACACCGTGGTGTAGCGCGTGTAGTCGTTGACGAGCACAAGAAAGTAGCGCTCGCCACGCGGTCCGGGGACGGGGGCTGGGCCCCAAACGTCTAGGTGCAGGGTCTGAAGGGGGGCTGTAGCAAGGCGAAGCGAGGAGGAGTGAGGGGCACGGCGGAGCCGGCCCTCGACGCAGGGCGTGCACGGTGGAGCAGGCGAGAGGGGAAGGGCGGGGAGCGACGCGGGGAGGCCTAAGACAAGACCGTGCTGGGACATGTGACGCAGACGCGGGATTGCAGGGTGACCTAGGCGGTGGTGCCACAAAAGGGACGGGTGAGTGAGAGACCAACACGAGCAAGCTGCAGCGACCTGGGAGGACGCACCAACCGGAGGGGAAGCGTTGTCTAGGGTGAACAGTCCGGACACCGGGTCCCGGGGGAACGTAGCAAGTGGGGAACCTAAGACAGCCTCAGAACGGACAGCGAGCCGCTCGTGCCCGGAGAACGTAGTGGTGACGCCGAGGTCCTGAAGACAGCCGACACCAACCAGGTTCCTCGAGAACGAGGGAACGTGGAGGCCTGTAAGAGAGCCCGAGGGAACTGCTAGACAGGGAAGGACGTGGAACTGCGAGCGACGACGGGACCCGCAGAGGGGTCAGCGAGAGAGACAACAGCAGGCGCAGCAAGCGGCGTAAGCGTGGAGCGGTCGCGGAAGAAATAGGCAGAAGCATCGGAGTCGAGAATGAAGGACAGCGAGGCAGTGGCAGAGGCTGGGAACGGAGCCGGTGCAAAACCTAGGCTAGGCAAACTAGGCAGTCCTACGCCTGACACAGCAGGGGAGGCTAAGCTACACAAGGGTGAGACACCTAAACTAGAGTACACAGGGTAATAAGATACAGCAACACTAGAAGCGTCAGCATACAAAGCATGCAAAGCAGCACCTATCTGATCCATATCTAACTCAAAGATCGGCACGCCCTGGCGAAGCAGGCTGTGCCAGTCGGGGAGGTCCGGGGCCGGGCCAAAGCGACGACGAAAGAGATCTTCGAGGCGGCGGAAACAGCGGGCGATCGGGTGCGGGCGGCGGCACAAAGTGCCGCGGAGAGGTCTGGTCTGAAGCTGGTACTGGCAGGTCACAGCACTGGAGCTGCCGGTAGACGCCAAGCTGCGCGGGCCACCACCTCGGCCACCACCGCCGGAGGTGCCGGGCCAACCAGGTGGGAGACGAGCCCACGGCTGCGACAGCTGCTGCTGGGACGGCGGCGGCTGCTGCTGGGGCTGCTCCGGTTGCGAAGGCGACTGCGTCTGCTCCTGCCCACCGGTGGTAGTCCCCTCAGGTGGACTACCGTCACCACCACCACTACCACCACCACTAGTGCCACCACCACGACCTCCCTGGCGGCCACGGCCACCGCGGCGCGGACGCTGCTGCGGGTGGACCGCAGCTGCCGTCTCGGTAAGAGGGGTCGCAGTGGCGACCGCAGCCGAAACGTCAGTAAACGTGCACTGGGAGGGGGCACAGCCGTGAAAGATAGAGACTGTTGGCGCACCGCTGGACTGAGCGATAGTGCGCTGGCGCGTCTCGATCTCGGTGAGGGTGTCGACAAAGGCGGTCAGTGTGAGGTCACCTGAGTGCTGGCTAAGGAAGCGGTCGCGGGCACTAGCTAGGCAGTCCGGCAGGCGCATGGCGATAAAATAGATGGTCATGCAGAATGGGGGGGGGAGCGCAGTGAGCTGGGCAGCAGTGCTGGCAGTGCGATAGCGACTCTCTAGGGCACGCAAGTGAGTTGCAAAGTCTGCGACAGTAGGGAAGGCAGCAAGGTGTGGGAAGAGCATCGGGAAGAGCAGGCGGCCGGCAGAAGCGGATGCAGGTGTGGAATAGCGAGCAATAACAGCGTCTAAATAAGCTTTGGCCGTATCAACTGTAGCAAAACGCGAGCGCTCAGACACAGGGAGGGCGTGACTGATAGCAACCTGAGCTACTGCATCGCGTGAGTCCCAGACCGCACAGGCAAGCGCAGCAGTAGAGAAAGCCTCACTCTCAGCGGAGGTGGGGTTAGCAGGGAGGGGAGCAGGTGCAGGGGGGCGAGGGAGCAAGCCATCAGCATGGACAACCAGCGAGTGTCCATCCTTGCGCTGGCCTGTAAGCTGATGGCGGAGATCGGAGAGCCAGGCGACGAAGTCAACCGCGTGGCCCTCAGCGTCCAGGCGGAGCACGAAGTCAGCCATCGTGCAGGGTCAGTGACACAGCTCCTTAGCAACACAGCGGCACAGCTCCACAGCTCGGCAGGAGCACAGCGGCATGGGGACACGGCGGCAACACTCTCCAGTAGGGCGGCTGCGGGGCGCCCCGGCGTGGGCTAGCAGAGGACACGGGGCCCGAGGTGGCACGGCAGGCCGAGCAGGCACGAGGAGGGGCCAGGCGGGCAGGAGGAGGGGCCGGGCTGGCGCTGAAAACCGGGCAAGCGTGACAGGGCCGGGCTGGCGCTAAAAGGGGCCGGGCGGGCGCACTGGGACTAGCGGGCGGTAGGAGAGGCCGGGCGGCGCTAGGAAGAGGCCGGGCAGGTGCTGCTGGGGCCGGCTAGGAGCGGGCTCGACGGCCAGTGGGGCCAGCTAGGGGCGGGCGCAAACGGCTAGAGGGCCAGCTAGGAGCGGGCGCGAACGGCCAGGGGGCCAGCTGAGGGCGGACGCGACGGCCAGGGGGCCAGCTAGGAGCGGGCGCGACGGCCAGTGGGGCCAGCTAGGGGCGGGCGCGACGGCCAGGGGGTTGGCTAGGAGCGGGCACGAACGGCCAGGGGGCCAGCTAGGGGCGGACGCAACGGCCAGGGGGCTGACTAGGGGAGGACGCGACGGCCAGGGGGCCGACTAGAGGCGGACGCGACGGTCAAGGGGCCGACTAGGGGCGAACGCAACGGCCAGGGGGCCGGCTAGGGGCGGACGCGACGGCCAGGGGGGCAGCTAGGAGTGCGCGCGACGGCCAGTGGGGCCAGCTAGGGGCGGGCGCGATGGCCAAGGGGCCGGCTAGGAGCGGGCGCGAACGGCCAGGGGGCCAGCTGAGGGCGGACGCGACGGCCAGGGGGCCAGCTAGGGGCGGACGCGACGGCCAGGGGGCCAGCTAGGGGCGGACGCGACGGCCAGGGGACCGACTAGGGGCGGACGCGACGGTCAAGGGGCCGACTAGGGGCGAACGCGACGGCCAGGGGGCCAGCTAGGGGCGGACGCGACGGCCAGGGGGCTGACTAGGGGCGGACGTGACGGCCAGGGGGCCAGCTAGGGGCGAACGCGACGGCCAGGGGGCCGACTAGGGGCGGACGCGACGGTCAGGGGGCCAGCTAGGGGCGAACGCGACGGCCAGGGGGGCGGCTAGGGGCGGACGCGACGGCCAGAGGGCCGGCTAAGGGCGGACGCGACGGCCAGGGGGCCGACTAGGGGCGGACGCGACGGGCAGGGGGCCGGCTAAGGGCGGGCGAGAGACGAGGGCGCGGGCGGAAGTGGGCGGGGGGACCTAACCTACTCGATACCATGTTAGAATACGTGAATGATTACTAGAAGGAGAAACCTAGAACATATACCTGTTGGGTTGTACTCACTAGAAGCACACACCTAGTCCAGCCTATAACTTCTACATAGAACATATGTATAAGTTGACATAAGGTGCATGCATAAACCTGAGCATGACAGCACACAGCCATCACACCAAACTGCTACTATCTTGGCTGCATGAGTGGTGGAGCTCTTGTCCTGCAACAAAAAATGCATTTGGAACAAATTTATTTTATTGAGGCGTCACTAGAAAACATGGGCATGCATTTTATTGGCAAGGTTGATCGCATGAGGCATGCACGCCACCACCAAGGCTAATTGCAAAAGAGAAGGAGCCAGGCCAGCAAGCACTGCCACGGGCACCAGCCATGATGCACGGCTGAGAGCCAATCCTCGTGCCTTACGCAGGAGGCATGTTGATCAGCTGGGGGGGTTCCTGGCGACGGGCTGGGTAGTGCCTTGCAAGGGAAATGAGCAACCGCGGAGCCCATGCACACAAAGAAGACGACGAGCTGTGCTGATCGGTGCCGCCTCGCTGCCAGATACTCCGATGGGTGCTGGCTTGCTCCCGGGTGCTCCGATGGGTGCTGGCTCGCTCCCGGGTGCTCCGATGGGTGCTGGCTCGCTCCCGGGTGCTCCGATGGGTGCTGGCTCGCTCCCGGGTGCTCCGATGGGTGCTGGCTCGCTCCCGGGTGCTCCGATGGGTGCTGGCTCGCTCCCGGGTGCTCCGATGGGTGCTGGCTCGCTCCTGGGTGCTCCGATGGGTGCTGGCTCGCTCCCGGGTGCTCCGATGGGTGCTGGCTCGCTCCCGGGTGCTCCGATGGGTGCTGGCTCGCTCCCGGGTGCTCCGATGGGTGCTGGCTCGCTCCCGGGTGCTCCGATGGGTGCTGGCTCGCTCCCGGGTGCTCCGATGGGTGCTGGCTCGCTCCCGGGTGCTCCGATGGGTGCTGGCTCGCTCCCGGGTGCTCCGATGGGTGCTGGCTCGCTCCCGGGTGCTCCGATGGGTGCTGGCTCGCTCCCGGGTGCTCCGATGGGTGCTGGCTCGCTCCCGGGTGCTCCGATGGGTGCTGGCTCGCTCCCGGGTGCTCCGATGGGTGCTGGCTCGCTCCCGGGTGCTCCGATGGGTGCTGGCTCGCTCCTGGGTGCTCCGATGGGTGCTGGCTCGCTCCCGGGTGCTCCGATGGGTGCTGGCTCGCTCCCGGGTGCTCCGATGGGTGCTGGCTCGCTCCCGGGTGCTCCGATGGGTGCTGGCTCGCTCCCGGGTGCTCCGATGGGTGCTGGCTCGCTCCCGGGTGCTCCGATCGGTGCTGGCTCGCTCCCGGGTGCTCCGATGGGTGCTGGCTCGCTCCCGGGTGCTCCGATGGGTGCTGGCTCGCTCCCGGGTGCTCCGATGGGTGCTGGCTCGCTCCCGGGTGCTCCGATGGGTGCTGGCTCGCTCCCCGGTGCTCCGATGGGTGCTGGCTCGCTCCCGGGTGCTCCGATGGGTGCTGGCTCGCTCCCGGGTGCTCCGATGGGGGCTGGCTCGCTCCCGGGTGCTCCGATGGGTGCTGGCTCGCTCCCGGGTGCTCCGATGGGTGCTGGCTCGCTCCCGGGTGCTCCGATGGGTGCTGGCTCGCTCCCGGGTGCTCCGATGGGTGCTGGCTCGCTCCCGGGTGCTCCGATGGGTGCTGGCTCGCTCCCGGGTGCTCCGATGGGTGCTGGCTCGCTCCCGGGTGCTCCGATGGGTGCTGGCTCGCTCCCGGGTGCTCCTACGGGTGCTGGCTCGCTTCCAGGTGCTCCGACGGATGCTGGCTCGCTCCCGGGTGCTCCGATGGGTGCTGGCTCGCTCCCGGGTGCTCCGATCTGTGCTGGCTCGCTCCCGGGTGCTTCGATCGGTGCTGGCTCGCTCCCGGGTGCTTCGATCGGTGCTGGCTCGCTCCCGGGTGCTTCGATCGGTGCTGGCTCGCTCCCGGGTGCTTCTATCGGTGCCCCTCCCACGGTGCAGGAGAAATCAAGTACCGTGGATCCCCTGAAACCACAGAAAACCAACGCGTTGCACAACTCATATATGCCTTAGAGGCTCTGCAACACTCTTATGCCTATGGCACAGCAGGGTGAGGGTGGGAAGTGGGGGTGGCCAGTGAGGGTGGCGAGTGAGGGTTGCGAGTGACGGTGGCGCAACAGGTGAAGCTAGATGCACACAGAATTCGGGGTTGGAATTGGGTACCTTGTTAGGCCGTGATAACCAAAAGTTCTCGAGCTGTCCCCGGAGTACGCAAAGATGATGTTGGACGGGCCCGCCAGCTTCACTGGCACGTTTCCAGATCCCTCCGTGCGAGTGAATCTGCAGCCAAACAGAAATATTACCATGGGAGATCGATAGGTGGCTATAAGTTCAGTCTAGGACCAGAATGAAAGGTTTAAGAAGGGCACGGGGCACGTCTGCAGCGCACTCACTCGAGGATATAATCGTGATGTTTCAGCTCGCTTGATCGCTGCTCTCGTTACAGTCAACACTCTTGTTACAATCGCCACTCACTCGAGGATAGTCGCGGCGCCTGTCACCGCACGGCCCTTTGCCCCCCCGAGGAAAGAGCTCATTTCCCCAACGCGCTCCTGGCCGCCGGCGGAGGTCGACACGAGCTTATAAGCCGCCGGCAGGCCCGACCCGTTGACCTCTGTGCCGTCCGCCGCCCGTTCCTCGAGATTGCCAACCACCGCGTCGCTGCCGGCCATGTTGCCGTCCGGCGACCACCCCACTGCCGCCCAGCCAGAGGTGTACGTCTCGAGGGCGAGGTGGAGCTCCGTCGAGTTGGGCGTCTTCCAGTGGAGAAAGAGACTGGGGGCGGGCGTATTTTCGAGGGGGCAAGGGGAGAAAACAGAAGAGCATGCAATTTCAGTCGAACGTTCACAAATGCGAGGTAGGTCGAGTGGCGTCCAGCCGACAAAGGTGCATTTCTGCCTAGTAGGGCGCGTGGGCGATCCACGCATTTGAGGTCGCTCGATGCGATTTCTGCAAAGTTTTTCTAGGGAGTAGTTGACGTCAGCAGCTGAGCGCAGCTTTCAGTGAGCGGCGCCGCCACTCTCGGTCGGAATTGAAAGAGAATCGACGGAATGCGGCACCAACCAAAAGAGCAATTCAGGGAGAGCGCACCTGTCAGTGAGCTGCACCTCCACGTCGTATCCATGGAGAGTCGATACAACGCAGTTACTCTGCGCCGCCGCACCCGACGCGAAGAGCGCGCCGTAGAAGGCCACGGCGAACAGCACCGCCGCGAAAGCCGGCGCCATGGACGGAAACTTTCCAGCCACGACGATTGCGCGCCGAGTTCGGGTTTCTTACTCGAAGAACCCCTGGGGGTGCAGCTGACGAAGCTCGCGAAGCTAAGCGACGCTCGCGAAGCTAGTAAGCGTAAAGCTGACGTGCGGGAATTCGAAGCAGGCTTGCGAAAGACCCGTTTAGGAGCGTAGCAGCTGCGCGCGGGGATCAGATCTGATGAAGATTACCGAACTCTGATGAGAGTATGTAGTAGGGGTAGGATCTAGTACGTTCAGTAGAGGAGATGTGCTGGAACTGAGAAGGTACCGAAGTATGGGTATGAAGTATGTAGTATATCGTATGGGTACGGTTGAGGATCTAGTAGTACGCTGCTCCGTAGAGGAGATAGTGCAGGAACTGAGAAGGACGTGCTCCTAAATACCCCCAGTACCGAGAGCGGGATTCTCTCGGTAGGAATGCCTACGGGAGTCGCTCAGTGAGCGGGTTGTAGCTAACATTGTCGGGCGTTCGGCATTGCGCACACTTCCTAAAATTACAAGTTAAAACAATTGCGGCTCCAGAAGAGTTCCACCCAATCATGGCTGAACGTCGTCGGGCATTTGGCGCTGCGGCACACTCCATCCCATTTCCCATTGCCCATCCCATCCCATCCCATTCCATTTCCCATTTCCCATTTCCCATTCCAATAATTGCTCGCCCGGTGGAATTCGACGCATTCTTGCTCCAATTTTCCGTGTCGCGGTTCAGGAAGGTTTGCCCAGCGAGGCACGGGGGATTCACAGATGCTCGCGTATGATTGGCTGTAGCGTGGAATGTCAGCTCGGGTCGAACCAGAAATATGCGCTGTTCTGAAATCGGTACGGCTACAAGCTTCCAAATCTGTAGTACAGAACAACAGATAACTCTAAACTTTAGCGCGTGCTTTTATGGGCCACAATGACGCAAATAACTTATGGTGCTTGCTCCCTATCCTTTACCAGGCGCAGGCCATCTGTCAGTGGGTTAGCATCAGTTAATTTGAGACTGCTTCCGATTTTAGGTGCGACGCGGATATCTGTCACATCTGTCTCTCCAGACTCCTCCAACTAGCCTGCATCCTGATTGGCTTCCCATCCCGCCAGCCAGCTGTCCTCCCCTTCATCTCCCTCCCCATTTCCTTTTCCTTGACCCCCCTCGCTCTCCTCTCCGTCTTCCCCTTCACCTTCACCACCCTCCGCGGTCCGTTTATCATTCCTACTTGCATCATCCCCAGTCCCTCTCTCATCATTCCCCATCCCTCCCTCGTCATCCACAGTCTTCTCATCATCCTCACTCCCACCACCCTCTTGAGTGGGAGACCCACTGCTCTCACTGCCGACATCAGCCCCATCAGCCCTCAACTCCCCCTCAACACCTCTTCCACTATTTGTTTTGCTGTCACTGCCGACATCAGCCCCACCAGGTCTCGAATCCCCCCCACACCTCCTCCTCCATAACTGCTCTCACTGCCTGCAGCAACTGTAGCAGACTTGTCATCATGCTCTTCTCCTCCGCCCTCCCCTTCACTATTGTCACACTCACTGTTATTAACCTCATCTCCCCTACTATCAGCCATACTACCCTCATCTCCGTCATTATTCGCTCTCTCTGCAGGGCCCACATCACCACTTGCACTACCAACCTCAGGTCCTTTGTTACTCAAACCCTCACCATGCTGTCGTGTGTGTCGAGATGAAGTGTCACATTTCGGAGAATTTGTCGATGACGACGAGGATTGCGTCATGACCGCCTGTGATAGTTGGTAACCCGGTTATGAAATCCAGGCGAACCACTTGCCATGGCTTTTCTGGAGAGGAAGAGGCTGTAGCAGTCCTGCCTGTTTCTGCTTGCTGCTCTTCATCCGTTGACATGTCGTACACGAGGTGACAAATTGCTGGACGTTGTCTGCCATGTGGGGCCAGTAGTAGTGCTTTGCAATACCGGTGAGCGTTTTGTTGCTTCTGAAGTGTCCCGCATATAGAACATCGTGGTATTCTTAGAGTAGTAATTGGCGCAAAGGAGGGTAATTGGGTACCCAGATTTCCGTTGATCCCTTCCGCTACGCGATGTCACTGTCCCACTGTAGCACGTGTCGTTTTGCCGCCAAAGGAATTTCGGGGTCGATGGCGTACCCGTGTGTGAAGAGTCCCTCGAGGAGTGGGCTGATATCTTTGACCTGGATTGTGGCAACGTGTGCAGGCCGACTGAGAGCGTCTGCTTCGTTTTTGTGGCCGGGCTTGTACACGATGTCATACTGGAAGTGTGTCTCAAGGAAGTCGATCCATCGCACATGCCACCTAGAGATGTTTGGTTGTGTCTTCAAATATTTCAGGCTGCATTGGTCGGTGTAAACGGTTGTTTTCCGTCCTTCGAGAAAACATCTCCACGTTTTGAAGGCGATGATAATAGCAAGGGCCTCCTTGTCGTGTATCGGGTAGTTTAGTTCTGCCCCGTGTAGTTTCTTGCTGAGGTAGGCGATTGGTTGCAGTCCATTCCCCTGGTCTTGCATCAAGAGTGCTCCCACTGCCTAGTCACTAGCGTCAGCTTTGATGACGTAGTCGCGTTCGGGGTCTGGCAAGATGAGTACGACTGCGGATGTGAGTGCTTGTTTCAGCTGCTCCACGACTTTCTGATATTTTGGTTCCCACTTATAGGGCGTGTTCTTCTTCAGCAGACTCGTGAGTGGTTTTGCGATTTTTGCGTATTGTGGCACGAACCTGTTGTAATAGTTAGCGAAGCCTAGGACCTGCTGCAACTCCTTCACGTTCTTGGGTGTCTTCCACGTACGTACGGCTTTGATCTTCTTGGGGTCGACGTGAACTCCTTGAGCGCTCACCATGTGTCATAGGAATTGGACTTTCTCAAAGGCGAATTCGCTCTTGGATAATTTGACGTAGAATCGTTCTCGTCGAAGAATGTCGAAGACGCGTCGCAGATGTTGGACGTGCTGCTGCATGTCGCGTGATTATATGAGGATGTCGTCCAGGTAAAGCACCACGCATTCGTCCAAGAGTGGGCGTAGAATATGGTTGATTTCGGCTTGGAATGTTGCCGGTGCGTTGGTGAGTCCGAACGGCATTACTAGATACTCGTACGACCCGTACCGAGTTTGGAAGGCATTTTTGTGGATGGAATTGTCCGCCATTTGTACTTGCCAGTACCCGGACCGCGGATCTAGTTTGGAAAATACCATGGCTTCCCGAAGCTGGTCAAGCAGGTCATCGATTCGAGGGATTGGGTATTTGTTCTTGATGGTCTGCTTGTTGAGAGCTCGGTAATCGATGCACATGCGCAGGCTTCCGTCTGGTTTCGGTGTGAAGAGTACTGGGGCACTGTAGGGCGAAGTGGCTGGTCGGATGAGTCCTTTTGCGAGGAGATACTCGATCCATTTCTTCATGTCGACTAGCTCCATGGGGCTGAGCTGACATGGTGTTCGAAAGGTCGGCTTCGAACCTGGTACTTCCACGATCTCGTGTTGGTGCGTTCAGTATGGTGGCAGCTCGTTCGGAAGGTCGTCGAGAAGAATGTCTTGGAACTCCTTCAATAATTCCTTCATTTTTTGTGGAGGTTCCGAGTTTTCTCCCCGTCATTTTCCACCTCTGTTGCTATCGCCAGGAACCCGGTGTCGGTTCGCTTTACGTCCTTCTCGAATCGTACGAGTGTCTCAACTGGGATATCTCCCGTATCGTCCCAGTTGGGTAGCTGGACTCTCCTTCCATTGTTGTAGATGCTTGCGGTACGATTTACCCCGTTGATCTCGGGGTTGTTTTTTTTTAGGAAGTCTCGCCCGAAGGTCAAGTCAAGCCCTCTTACAGTGGCGAAAACAATTGTCCGTGTGTTTTGCATAAATTTGGGTTTTTAGGCTTTAAGACCACTATACATTAAGCCTTAATGTTTAATGGTGGTACGATTTGGGAGGGGCACATAGTGGATGTTTTCATAGCACAAATATCAAGAATTGTACATTAGATCTACCTTATATGCCAAAAGATATAAAAGGGTACATCCGGACAAATAGTTCCAAGCAGAGAGAGCAAACTTCAAAAGTCATTTCTAGTTCCTAGCCCACCGACCTTTGGCCTTGATCACCGCCCGCACCCTCCTAGGCGAGCTGTCGATGAGGCTAGAGCAAACCTCGGCATGGATCTTCTCCCATTCGTCCCGGACCAACTCTTAGAGCTCTAGCATTTCAGAGGAAGGCCTTTTCTGGTTGGCTAGCTCCCTTTTCAGGTAAGCCCCAGAGGTTGAGGTTTGGTGAAAAAGAAGGCCACTCCAGGGCTACATACTCATGTTCTCCAAGTCATTCATGCACTAGGCATAACAAATTCTTGGGGTCATTGTCCACACTGAGATGACCTCAGAGGGGAAAATGCTATAGAAATGGAGGTTCAATTCGAGTTCGTCATGCAAAATGCCCTCATACAGGGGCCTCTCCATGCATCCGTCAATCTTGCATATGAACCCCACCCCCGCACATGTCACACATCCCCACACCATCACCGATCCTTGTCCCCATGGTTTACCGTCTGTTTGATTTGGTGGTGTTGCAGGGTTGTGCCTTCACAAATCCAGGCAAACGCGCGGCCATTGGAGCTGAAGCAATTGATGTTGGTCCCATTTGACCATATCACATGCTTTCGAACACTAATTGTCCACTCCACGAATTGCAGCCGACCCCTGATTATTTTCCAGAACAGTCTTGGCTTCTATGACTGATGCACCGTGACTAGACCCGCAGACCCTAGTGTGCTTTTAATGGTGCAAGGGTGCACACTCAATTGTGCAACGTTACCCTCAGTTTCGTGGTGTCTACGCTAGATTTGGCCGCTCTATTCGTGATTTTACCCTACAATGGTACGATGAAGTCGATCCGTGATAAGATGGGCCTGACCGGCTAATTGCATCTTTGGCCACACCTCAGCATGGCTAGTCTCAAAGATACAATTCAATCGAAATTCGTCCATAATACTCTAGCCTACGCCTGACTTTTTTCGCGATTTTCCTAGTGCTCACCCCCTTATGCTAAATGGTGGGTCCAGGAAGAGTGCAAGAAGTTCCCCGCCGAGGTTTGTACTAACCTCGTAGGTAATATGCATAGGAGGGTGCGAGTCATGATCAAGGCCAAAGATCGGTGGGCTATGTAGCAAATACCCAATTCTGGAATTTGCTCTCTCTGCTTGGAAATATTTGTCCGTATGTACCCATTGTATATCTTTTGGGATAAGAGTTAGTTCCAATAAACTCTTCTGGATATTTGTGCTATGAACACATCCACTATGTGCCCCTCCCAAATCGTACCACCATTAAACATTAACGCTTAATGTATAGTGGTCTTAAAGAAAAAAAACCCAAATTTATGCAAAACATTCGGACAATTGTTTCCGCCACTGTATGTTGGTGA